TAACGTATTTTGCCAGCTGGATTTAAACATGTTCTGTGAAGAACACTATAGTAATTATTGATGATAACCAGAGGAAACTCTAATAATTTCCCACTGACAATAAACATGAGTTGCTTCTGTCAGGACGACGTGAGCGCTAGAGAAATTCAATGATTTGTGTTTGTGTATGCGTGTGCGTGGAATGCAGTGTTCCATTCTGATATCCTAAAGAAAAGGAGTAGAATAATTCGAGACAGAATGAATCCAAGCAGCAATTTTCTAGGTGTGTAACATGTTTTTATATTGCCAAAAGGTCTCTGGACTTTTGCCACAAATCACCATGTGATATCTCTGGATTTTTCCTATCTTTCCTTCTTATGGGGTCAGGGCACAACCAGGGCATTTTGAGGATTCCCAATATATTTTCTGCGATATCCAATAGTGCAATCCACAAACCAGGGAATGCATTCCTCTGATAAGCCCATCTCGGTCCATCTCTTTCTGAATACTTTTGTTTTCAATTCATTTGACCGTGTTGTGATGTAGGGAGCTCTGAGGTCTACATCAGTGTTTTTAATATTTCTTTCGTTTCCTCGGGGAAAAATGAAAGAAAGGCTCAGCCCGTTTCTCTAACCCTGTTAAACCCAATGTTGCTTAGAACTCAGTTTTATTATCTTTCCCTAATAATAGGACTAACAAAATATAAAAGCCAAAGCTTTCACTGATCGAGCATACTGATATGTCTTCCTATGGAAGAAATCAGAACAAAGTCTTCCCTACTCTGCCTCTGAAGAATGAAGATTTTGCCCCGTCTGAGTGTATCATTCACTATTTTAATAACTGGTACTATTAAGGTGCAAATTGCAACTTTTAAATAATGATTGCTAATAGCCTTATGTTTACTGCCACACAAGGACTTTCATGAAAACAAATTCTGCATTATTCATTTCTACTTCCCATAAACAAAGTAGATGCAGCTGCTCTCCCTCCCTCCCTCCCTCCCTCCCTCTCTCTCTCTCTCTCTCTCTCTCTCTCTCTCTCTCTCTCTCTCTCTCTCTGTGTTGTACTTTTTGGCTTTTACTTCTTAAAAGGGAAACCTGTCAGGGCCCAGCAGAGGTAGAAAGGGGAACCAAAGGGCAGGGAGGAAGCAGAAAAGAAAACTGTTAAGTCCAGGTTTATATTCAGGAGCAATGAACAGCAAATGTACGATGTACAAAATAAAATATTCACATCTCAACAAGTCCTAGGATGAGAGAAGAGCGTAATTGTGTGCAATTGGGTTGGAAAGCTACTGTATTTCCAATATAGAAAAATAAAAATGGAGTTAACATATCAATTCAGTCTTAGTCCTAGCTTTTCCTTTCCTTTCAGTTGTGTTGGGTCACTCAACGGCTATTCCCCAGAGACACCTGCATTTTTGTAATTCAGGAACAACTGTTCCTGGCCTGATTCTCCTCTTCCTCTCTTCTCCTCTATGTAATCTCAGTGGCTGCAAGAGGATTTTCGGCTGTCTTGCAGCCATGGGAGAAGAGGAGAATCAGACAGACAATCTGTAAAGCACCTTGGGCTCTTTCAGGATGGAGGATAGCAACGCACATGTAATATATCATTGCAAATAAAGGTATGATGTAATGTCAGGCACTGACCTAAAAATATCCAAACATCTGCTTAAAGAATTATGCAGACAATGGTCAAAAAGAACAATGCTGCTGAGAAAGGAGTCTGGAGGAACCTAGGAATTTGCCACTGCTGTTTTTCTGACTCAGACTATCATTTCTGAACATGCCTTTGGAAACAGAGAAGGATAAAAAAAAGTGCCTTCATCATCCCTTTATGCACTTACATTGCTGATTTTCATTATGGCACTCTGTAAAATATAAGGTTGTCATGGCTTAAAATTAATGGAGGGGGGAGAGGAATTGTCATGTTTCCAGGATCCAGCGGGCCATCCCCCTTGATTCAGTTGCTTGTTCTCTCTAACCTTTAAGACGTTCATTAATCAGAGAAGAAACCTGTTCCCAAAGTAGATGCTTGGATGTAATTATTTACAGTTGTGCATAGGCTTTAAATCCAAGCCATAATCAAGACAGCTAAATCCAAACCCCCCCCCCGTCACTTACTTTCTTTTTTTTTCCCCTTACAGACTCAAAAGTTGTAAACTTTTTTTTCTGATTCAACACAGTCAAACTCGTAATCAGACAAAAAAATCAGACAGACTTTTCCCAAACATGTAATACTTTTTTTCTCTCTCTCTTTCTCCCTTTTGAAGAGGAAGATTAAAGGCTCAATAAAGAAAGCCAAAGAGAATAGTGGTGCCAAACACTGGGATAATCAATTATTTCCTTCCCTTCCTCATTCTGTTCCAAGGCCACACTGTGGCCCAGAGATTTTGAGACTGTATTCAGCTCTTAAAACAGAACCTTTTTCACTGGAACGCGGGAAACAAAAGTAATCTTAGAACAATGGCTAAGAGTCAGCTTTGTACAGTTTAATCTTGCTCCAGGTGGACTCCCTCGGAAAAAAACTAAATCGTCCCTTAAAGAAACCAACTGAAATTATACTGAGTGAAAAATAAAAGAGTATCATAAAAGAACACACTGTTGAAAGGAAACTACAAGCAGTATTTTGTAGCAGAGAAAATGAGGTGCGCCCAAGTTTTCCCAAGTATCTGTCTGAAAACCTTTACAAGAAATATCTAAGTTATGATTAAGGGAACCTAACTTTGGGAACAGGCCCAGGATGGCATCACAATGATCAGCTGAGAAAATGCTATTAAAATCACTTGCTGTTGCCCAGTATTATCCCGCCTCCTATTCTTTCCTTTCCCCATCAATCCTATTTCTTTCTCATCTATCATACTTCGAATGAAAAGCAATTTACTAAGAAAGACAGTCAAAAAGAGGAACATTTTGAAATGGGAGGTATACTTTAGAGATGATGAGTTTTCATGATAGCAGAAGTTGCAAAAATACTATATTCTAGAGTTATTGGGTCTGGAAAGTTTAAAACCAAGAAGAGTCATAAAGACCAAGAAGTGTTTTTTTTTTTCCAGAACATTGCATATGGAGAAGACCTAAACTGCAGTACTTTATATTACTGTGAAATAAATAATAGTAACAGTAATAGTCATGTATTATTTGGTTTGCAAATTAGTTTATATACGGATGAATTCTCTCTCACGTAGTTTTATATGTATTAAACTCCAAATATGGAGAATGTAAACTACGTACCCACACCCACACCCACACCCACCTCCAGGACTGAACTGAATCATGTTTGTAAAACTTTCCCAGATCCTTTCCTTCCAAATTTATTTTCAACTTTGAACAATTCTCAAGCATGACGGCATTTACTCCAGCCCATCACCCTGAACATCCAGATAGTTTCATGGGTAGGGGAGAGTTTGTTTACTTTTAAAAATCAACTTTGTTTCTTTGTACAGCTTTAATCTAACTGGACACAATGACAAAAAAGGGGGGGTAGATAAAAGAATAATCCCACCCACATTAAAGCCAAACAAGATAATAATTGTACTTGCCTGGCTAAGATAGTCTAGAGGGCAAGACTTGCGTCATTGGCACTCAGGTTACCATAGTGAGTGATTTATTGATATATATCAAGAATGAATAGATCAAAGGCAGCAAGATGACAGGCGATCAATCAAATGTCAAATCAAAGCTGGCAATCAACTGGAAAGCTGGTTATTGGTGGTTGTTTTTTTTTTTTCCCCGGTGGGTGGGTCTGGTGACAGAGAAACGAACTTCTTCCGCACCTCTCTAGCTACGGTGAAAAAAAAAGCCCCACCAACTCTCCGGACCTCTTTCCGAGTGCACCGAGCCAAACTTGAACGGAGCATCCACAGCCAGACCGGCGCGAAGCCTCCCCCGTCACAGCCTTCCCGGCCAGACCAGCCTTCAGCTCTTGGGCTCGGGAAAGTCCTCTGCCTGCCCTCGGCGTCCCCCTCCCCACGCCCACCGTTTCCCGAAAGTTGAGCGAGCTCTCCGGCTCCTGCAAATCGGCAGCCCCGCCGCCTTTGACCCCCGCGTGGCCTTTCGGGCCTCGCTTGGCAGCTCGGCCAACCCGGCAGCGGCGAGCCCGGCAGGGCAAGGGGCAGCTGGATCCGCACGGGATTCCTTTCCCCTCCCCGGGGTTGCCCGCCGCCAACTCCCCTCCGAACGCTCACTCGGTTTCCGGTCGGACTTTCGCTTTGCTTTCCCTTTCTTTTTCGCCCCCGAAGATCAAAGGGATGAACTTCCACCGGCGGGTTCACACCAAAGCACACCGAGCTCCGCCGCCTCCCACCCCAGCCCCGAGCTATTTCTCCCGGACGAGCGCATCAAACTGCAGAGAAACAAAGCTTCCCCCCTCCTCCAAAAAAGGCACCGCTGGCGGCCGCCTCCACCCCCCCAAAAAAATATCGCCCTTCCTTTACGGACGCCACCTGCATTGCCAAAATACAGGTCCAACGGTCCACCGTCACACACACACACACACACAAACACACACACATCATACCCGAAGCGATGCCAAGCGGGGGCGAAGCGAGGAAGGGCTGCAAAGAGAGAGAAAGAGGAGAGGGCGAGGGAAAGCCAAGCGGAAGAAAGTTGCGGGCGAGGGGGGGGGGAAGAGAAAGTTTAAGAAATTGTAGCTTGGGAAAGCAGGGCAGTGAAACACCGACACGCTCCCCCCCCCTCCAAAAAAAAAAAGCGAAAGAGAAGAAACTGCAGAAGAAACTGATTCAACCCGGTCCATGTTGAGGAAGTGGGCTCGGTATGCGTGCGTGCGCGTTTGTGTGAGTGTGTTGTGGCGTATGTGTGTCAGAGCGAGAGAACCCGGGCGGGCGAGGAAAGAGAAAGGGGACTGCAAAAATCAAGAGGCGGAGGGAGACTTGCTGGAAGCGGGCGCGCGAAGCGTCTGAATACCCGGCACGCACTCACGGAGGGAATGTCTGAAGGGATGACCCACCAAGCCAGATCCGGGGAGGCGGGGAGAGGAGCCGGGCGCCTCGCTGGCTTTCTTACCTGCCGCCCTTTTGGGTGCCTGCTGTTTCCGCCTTGGCATCGCTGTACTTTCTGCAACCTCACTTCTCTTCCCAGATCCGAAGCCGCTCCGAGGCTGGCGGGGTTTGTTTTCCCCCCCCTCTCTCTCTTTCTCCCTCTCTCTCGGCGTGCGCGCTTGTGTGTGTGCGCGCGTGTGTGTGTTTTCCTCCCTTTCCCTCCTTCTCGGCCGCTCAACGACTTAGCGGCGACCAGACCGCCGAGCGCCCTCGCGTCTCCTCGGGCGCGATCAACCTGTTCGGAGTCTTTCGGGATGCGGAGGGTGGCAGCTTTGTTTGGGCTCTTTGCTCTCTCTCTTTCTCTCTCTCTCTCTCTCTCTCTCTCTCTCTTTCTTACAACCAGAACGGCGCTGGGGGAGCTGAGGGGGGCCCGCCTTTTTTGTCCCTCTTGTTTTGTTTGAACTGTTGCGAGACTTCCTTTGATGCAGACATCCAGGCACATCCAAGGCAAAAGGAGGGACCCTCGCTGTGCGCCGGGGCAATGCTTTTTTTTTTTTAAAGTGGATCAATAAATAACAAAATAGGGATATGTGAATAGTTCTGTTTGCCCGGCTGACGAAGGGGAGGAGGGGTTGCTATTTCCTGGCCTTTCCCCCCCCCATTCTCCTCTCCGCCTCCTTCGCGGTAGCTCTCGATGGCGGCTGGGCGACTATCCGCCGAGAAAACTGCAGGTTCGTAGCCGCCAGATGCCAGGTTGTGAGTGATGTGGAAGAGGACGGAGGAAGGCTTGGGGGTAGAAGGAAATCTGGTGTTCACACACTCACGCGTCCACACACGCACGCACCCTAACCCACATCCACATACTCACTCACATACACACTCACAAATATACACACAAATACACACGCACACACACACACAGGCAGGACGAGGCGATGCCAGGAAGCATCGATCCTCTGAGCAAACTGTGTATTAGCAAACCCCTCCTCCGCGACCTGATGACAGGATGAAATTTACTCCGAGCAGACAGAAGGCAGTCAGTTTATTAAAGAGACAGGACTTTGGCTGATCGCAGACGTCTGGGCCTGAGGGGGGGGGGAATGGGGTTTGAGGGGATGCAGCCGTTCCGGAGCACCAACCTGTGTGCCTATCGATATTCCCATATCCACCCCCTGCCTCCCTTTACGACCCTTTCCTGCAAGCCCCCATTTTCTCATCAATCTGAGCCCGTTTCTCCCTCCCTGGGTCATTTAATGATCCATTGCCTCTTGAATTCGGTCTTAAAAATTGCTTTTCCGGCAGAGGTTGTCTGGGAATGGTGATGGTGAGCTGGTACGCTGGGCTGCTGAACATGTGTCTTTAGTGTGCTTTTATCAGAGGATTTTATGATGCAGCTCTCCCCCCCCCCCCGTCCTGCCTGCTGTCTCTTAACATAAACAGAAGCTCGTCGTTTCTGCAGAACACTTTCCCCCCTTTTTTAAAAAAAGAAAAAAGATGGTCCTTTTTTGTTGTTGTCTTTCTTGCTCTCATATAGGCGTACAGCATTTTAACTCTGTAATTCTCCCTTCTCTTTTGAAATTTTATTTTGCCCTCTCCCGTTTCATCTGCACATAAAGCTAAATTTGGAGAAATAAAATTCCTCTTCTCTTTTCCTCACTTTGGAAACAGATCGCTGACAAGTTCTCACTACTATGCCGCTGGAGAAAGGTATCTGAAAGACACTGGGTTGTATCTGGAACAAGCTGTGTGAAGTTTCACCCAGGTGTTTGGCAGAGATGGGCAGATGAAGATTGCAGCTGCTTTGTACGCTGGTACGTGCTGAACATAAGTCCACAGAAGTGAAGAACAAACTCTAGAAAACTGATCTGGGAAGAACAAGTCCAGGAAGAACTGAAGGCAATAGATTTCTTATCTTGACAAAATGCTTTGAGAGGTTTTGTATTTTGATAAAATGCTTATGGGGGGGGAGAGAAACAAGCATGCATGGACAGCATATGAAAAGCACACAAGTCTGCTTGGACATGGGCACATAAGGAGGGTCTTCTTGGACCTGTGGCATGTGCCAGATGAAGCTTTCCGCGGTGTGAATACACGCCTCAGTGTGGGAGTGTTTGGTTTATGGTCACTTTCATGTTGCTGCTTTGTACCACTTTGAAGCTAGATTTTTCACAACATTGTTAATTTGGGGACATTTAACCACAGTGAACCTGGCATCTTCTTTTCACCTGTTGCAACCTTTGTGGATGGGTTCCCCCCCCCCCATTTTCAGAGCTTTAGCTGGCCATCCTTTCCCCCAAGAGATTAAGTGTCCTTTTTTTTTTTTTTGAGCTTTCCTCTTCCTGAATCCATTGATTGGATTTTTTTTCTCTCCTTCCCCTGTACAATAGTCGTCCAAGCCATTTCTTCACTCTTGAGAAGAGCAACTGCCCGCAAAAATCCTATCATTTTATCCTCACAATTTGCAGAGGTTGTTGGTTCGTGGAGGAAAACCTAGAAGAACTTTGTGGGATTCTTTTGATTTCTTACTTTTTTGTGTCATCTTTGCAATCAGAGTAATGTCTTAAAATTTTTGACAAACCACCAGGCAAATTTTGGATCTCAGAATATCTACTGACAAACATAGAGGAAGGTTGTTGCTCTTTGTTTTATTTTATTATGAGAACGAGTGGGATTTTTGGTTCTCCATGATCATGGACAGCTTAGGAACAATATACTCCTTGGAGGAAAAAAATATATATCTGTATTCTCTCCTACTGCTCAACTGGAAAGAAAGACAGTGTAATTCCTGTTTTGTGGGGAGGGGGTTAATTTATTATTTCTATTTATTATTTCTAGGTTGCCAGTAGTTTTAAAAGTGTTTTGCAGGGGATGGAAGGGGTTAAACAGGCTGGTGATATAGAAGTGTCCTGTCACAGACTGGTGTGCAGAATATATATGTCTTTTTCCACCTGGAATTCATAACCAGCAAAGGAACTTACCTTGTATAAAATGTGTAAAGAGAAAGTAATGTTACAATTTGAGAGTTCCCAGACATTGAAAACATCTGCAGCCGTTACATCCAGCAGTTTGGCTACTATTTTCAGCAGAGGGAAACAAAATGAGGGACTGGATGCTATTGCAAACTAAATTTAATAGAAAAATAAGGCCTTTGTTCCTCTCTTATCCCTGGATTCAGGGGTTGGCTCAGGTATGTCTGCAGAGATAGTCAAGATGGGTGCTGCAGCCATGTGTTCAAAGCACTCTCATTTTTTAATACACATTGATGCATGTTTAAAAGGGGGGCTTTGATGGCATGATTGCAGTTGACATTATTTTTTGATTTCCCACCATGTGGACAGCCCTGGCTTGGCTTCTGGCAGTTTTCTCGGTGTCATTTAACTCATTTAGCTAATTATGAGGGCTAACATATTTTAACACAAGAAACATACAATTCTGCACATCTTTCTGCCTCAAATGGATTCTGAATCCATTTACTTGAAAGGTATCAAGTAAAAGGTAAAGCCAGCTCAAATTTGTTACCTGCCCAGAATCACATCTGCAACATGGGTGGCCATATAAATCAACCTAAAACAAACAAACAAATGGAGAAATAAAATATCTCTAATATTGTTGACTGAAATAGCCATCAAGGAGAATAGGTGTATATTGAATTGATAATCTGATGCTCCGTTGCCCGCCCCTAATTATTTTTACCTAGCATTGAGGTACATAGTAAAAATGATCACATGTCAATGAAACCTGAAATACATCTGGTTGCACAGCAGGGCAATTGGATGTGGAATACATTATTTGTTTGTTTATTTGATTGATTGATTTGCCATTGTTGTTCCTTCAACCAAAAATAACACCCCAGGCAGCACATAATATAATACAATTACAATTTGAACTATAAAACTGGCCAATTAAACCCATAACAAATTAGAGCATATCAGTCAGAAATAAATAACAAGTCCCCATCATAATCTGCCATAATGCATGGAGAACTCATCAAATTTGATCAGCTCAGATCATAGCTGGCACACCAGTGCAAAAGCCCTCTTAACTATCTCTGAACCTACTAACAGTGGAAAATGTAAGAACATTCCCAAACTGCAAAGGACTGCATATTTGTTAGGATGTGCCTCAGTGGAGGAAATAAAATTCTGATCTGTTTCTAAAATTGAAATCCTCCAGTACTATAAATTTAGAGTAATACACTGCCAAACCTGAACATATTCCTGCTAGCATTAAGGGGCCCTGGTGGCACAGCGGTTAGAATGCAGTATTGCAGGCTAACTCTGCCCACAGGCTTGAGTTTGATCCTTATGGGGCTCAAGGTTGACTCAGCCTTCCATCCTTCCGAGGTCAGTAAAATGAGGATCCAGATTGTTGGGAGCAATATGCTGACATTGTAACCTGATCAGAGAGTGCTGTAAAACATTACGGAATGGTATATAATTCTGCTATTGCTATTACTATTCATAGAAATCTTGTAGAGAGCAGAGGGAATTAATTTGAAGGACAGAAGGGAGACCCACTCCCAAAGAAATTGTCAGTAAAAAGGGGTCTGAGTCCAGGCCAAGAATGTTGCATGAGTAAACATCACATAAAAATAAAGGCAAGGAGATAGGAAAGATATTGCAAGATTCTGTTAGTATAGCTTTAAAATTCTGATCCATATGGCATTGGTTTTCTAGGCTGGTCTACCTTGAAGGGTTGATAATAGTCCCCTTGCAGTATTCCTAAATTGTTCAGGGAATCTAAATGTTCAAGTCACAATGGTAAATTGGTTAGATTGAGCATCTTGGTCACCACAATGCATTTCTGTGGCCACTCATTCTTTCTGCTCTCCAGTCCTACTTGCTTCATCACCAAGAAGGTAAGCAGACAGAACTAATGGAGGGGATTAAATTCTTCCTTTTTATCTGATAGTTCTTCATGGTACATGATAATAAATGCTTTAATAAGACCTCACCTGATACATTGAAGAGTAAGGATTTAGACCATTGCCATGGTTACTTTGACTTCCTTGAGTAGCCTGCAACCTGAAAGATCCTTCAAGAGAAGATTTTCCATTGCAGCTTAAAACCAATTAAACTCTCAGTTTAAACTAGCTTAAACAAAAGTGATTAAATTAGTGTCTGAATACTAATTCTGCATATCATTGCTTATCCTAAAAAGAAAAAATAGGATGGAGGTGTAAATATGCATTTTTGTTTTAAAATTAAAAGTGTGTGTGTGTGTGTGTGTGTGTGTGTGTGTATGTGTATATGTATGTGTATATGTATGTATATATATATATGCATGACTTTCCCAGAAGGATTAAAATAGAAAGAAGTATACTTCCAGGAGCCCATCCCTTTAGTCTGGTCAGTAGAAAAAGCTGTTGACCTTTGAAAATGTATTTTCTACCCAACCATTACAAATCCCAAAGCTATATCTGCTTTTGCATTTGGCTATGTCAATGGCTGGTGATGGAGTGGAGTGATTTGAAGACAAAACAGGATATCAATCAAATGAAGACATACACGAATCAATCCATTTTTAGACAAAATATTTTGCAGTTTTTTATTAGCTTATTTCCTGATTTTAGAAAATTTAAATGATTTAGTCACCTGAAATAATCAATTGTGTCTTAAAAGCACTTTTTTCCGTACTATCAATATTAAAACATGAGGCTTTACAGATAATTTTATCTGAATGGAAACAATTTAACTTGGATTTACAGCAGAACTTTATTTTTGTGGATGACAAGGTTGCTGCTGACACACAACTCAAAAGAATTTTGCTTTATAGGCATCTAGAAAATAGTTTCTGTCTACTCATGAAAATCGTAAATGGCTGGTTTCACACATTAACTATGATTTAGCTGACCATTGTTGAATAAGCCACAAATGGTTGGATCTATGGAACACACAATGCCAAAACCAAAGAAGACACAGTATAGCTTTGCTCAGTGTGTGAATGATGTCAATGTATATGTGCCATAACTGTCAGTAGTAATAAAAAAAAAATACTTTGAACATGCTTAGTGATCATGCTCCATATTTCATGTAATCTAAAGTAGAAAATAGCTTTCAGGCTAGTGCACTAGTGACCCTTAGATTAAATGGATAATAATTGTTGACTTCAACTTTACCTCTGGTGCCTGTTTACACATTTGAGCCATGAATCAGATACTGAAATGAACTAAAAGAGGAAACAACTTCCTTGCCAAGATCAAAATTCTTGGCTCATCTCTTTTCTTCTGATCCTAATGTAAGCAAAGATATCAACAACTTTAAATTGCAGGACTGGATGGACATTAAGATACAGTTACTTACACCTTCCAAAACATTACTATGAAGCGGTTTTTTTTTTTTCAAGCCAGTGAAATCATTCCTAGTAAGAAGAGAAGTCACAGAAGCTTCTTATTCAAAAGCAATGTGAAAGATGTTCAGAATAATAATTTTTTTAACTTGTTATCTATTGGTTTCTGCATTGGTGTCCAGTATCATGCAGCTTCATGACAAGCTCACCTTATTTGAAGAATTGGGTGAACCCCACTAGAAAAATCTTCTAACTAAAATGTGCTCCATTTTTCAAATAAGAGTAAGTTTGCCATCAGCATGGCATCAGGATGTGGAGAGAAGGGAGGTGAAGTTAACATGTCAAAAGCAATATCCATTTGTGAAATAACCTGGTAGAGACACTTTACTTTGTCACACAGGGTGAATAATAACCAATATTTAAGAAATGATTCTAGATCTAGAGGAATGAATAGGGGAAGGCAAAGGTAATTCAGGAGACTACATGTTGAATTTCTTAAACACCAGACATTCCACTCCATTAACTGATTCAAGATGCTTAATACTGAAATGCAGTGGTGATAAAACTGCTATTTCCAGGCCACCTTTAAAGGAGGGAAGTTTGATATATTCAGATAGTTGGTTGATTTGATGGTATACATATGTGAGAAGAAAACTCTGAAGACAGATTTCCATGAGGAAAAAAAAATCAAGCTGTTTCGTTTCATTTCAAAGAAGCTTGGTTTACATTTCAAACACAGGGGAAGTCACCCATCTTTTTGAGATATTCCTACAAAAGGCATATACTATTTTCCCTTAAAAAAAAAGAAACAGGAAAAAAAAAGAAGAGAATCTGTTCTATATGTATAACATTATGATATATGAAAAAGCAACCACAATGATTAACACAAACCACAACTTTTTGCATTGAGTGGTGGGTTAACTCATTAATCATGGGATAAAGATATCATGCTTCCAACTCTGCTGAAGTATTTTGGCCCTTTCCTCTTCATTGACACCTGAGCAGTCCAACTTCTGGACAGTTGAAAGGTAGTGTGTATTCAGAAATCTTTTGCTACATGAGAAATTGAGGAGGTTTTGTGAGGTTTTTCATTTCTTTGGAGTACTTCATTCTAGGTCTTATAACATGTTTCAAGACAAACAACGATCTCCAAGAAAATACTCCTATTTTCCAGATTTAATAGGCCATTTTTCAATCCTATATTCATCCATTCTCTAAGTAGTTTGCACAATTTCCATTTGAGATGGCACAGATGCCTAATTTCCATTGCCACAAACCTACTGTAGTAATTAAGTACTGATGTAAGATTGGAGACACCCAAGTTCAAATTCCAACTTGGCCATAGAACTTACTGTTTGATTTTGAATTGGTCACTTTCTCCCAGTTTGACCAATAGAACTGAGTTGCAAACATTAAGATGGGAATTTCCCCCCCTCCCTCTAGTAGTGATCTGGATTTTGGCAGTTCGTACTTTGTAGCTACCCAACAATGATTACGAGAATGTAATGATGCTGGGGATTATGGAAGTAGTATGAAAATGATTTTGCAAATAGCTATTATTGGCAGCAAGCTGTACGAATGGAATCATTGTCATCGTCGTCATCATCATCATCATCATCACCATCACCCTAGATCTTTAAAAAGGATCTGATAAATTCAGTTTCTGGTAGTGTATGTGTAAATAACATTGTTGAGCAGCTCAGTGGCCTAGAAGTGAAGGCACTCACTCACACTCAGGAGAGCTGAGAGTTCAATACTAGACAGCAACAGATGTTTATCAGAAAAAATATCTGTGACCTCCGTGTAGGTGTCAGGAGGAGCTTTCGGTCAGTAAATGCCCAGCTCCATTCAGTTGCCCTGACTCCACCCCAATAAAAGGTATTACAGGGTCATAAAATGAAAAAAAAATGTAAATAATACTGTTGATTTTATCTATTTATTAAATAAGTTTATATGGCTGCCCGACTCACAAGGAGGTGACTTCAGGAGCCTTACAACATTAAAGATATCTGGGTTTAGATGCTATTTTTCTACTTTTCTGTTGAGAGTTTTTTCCCACACATATACTTACTCATGCACACATACGAATACAAAGAAACAGATATTTTTTTAATGTTCTTCCAAAGAAAGGCACTGTGGAGTGGTAGGGAGATATCCATAATTTATTTAAATACCAGTGAGAATTTCTTCTTCTTCTTCTTCTTCTTCTTCTTCTTCTTCTTCTTCTTCTTCTTCTTCTTCTTCTTCTTCTTCTTCTTCTTCTTCTTCTTCTTCTTCTTCTTCTTCTTCTTCTTCTTCTTCTTCTTCTTCTTCTTCTTCTTCTTCTTCTTCTTCTTCTTCTTCTTCTTCTTCTTCTTCTTCTTCTTCTTCTTCTTCTTCTTCTTCTTCTTCTTCTTCTTCCTTGCTAAAATCATTTTGCACAAAAGGTTCATCTCTAGAACACGCATCTGGTTATACTGTCAAGGTAGCAATCTGCAAGAGGAGATTGTGTGGCTTCATTTCAAAGAGCCCATGCTGGTAGTTATATCATTTACATTGGAATCATGACTATTGAAGTTTGGATATGCAACATGGGGGAGGGAAATTTGTGAGTCTTTGGGGGGGGAAAAGATAAAATACAAAATGGGCTTCCAGGTACGAAAGGAATGAAATGTTGTCCTATCCTCTAGCTTTCCTGATGTTTGTGTTTGTGTGTGTGTATGTGTGTGTGTAAAACATTAAAGAGGCTTGCTTGAGAGGAGACACAGATTTATGGCTTCCTGTCTTCACCAGCAGATGTCATTGTGGCTGGCAGAACAGAATGCCTTTCAAGAAAGAACAGGGGTGGGATTACACCTGGTGTCCATTTATACTGTAATTCTGGACAGGATCTATAATCTTGCTCCTTTTTATTTTATAAGTGTGTAAGGAAAGCCTTCCTTCCTTCCTTCCTTCCTTCCTTCCTTCCTTCCTTCCTTCCTTCCTTCCTTCCTTCCTTCCTTCCTTCGAAGAATATTTAATGGGAAGGACTGTGAATGGTGGGTATCAAAGGTTGGCCTTCCCAGCAGTAAGCAGGATAGCCTTTTGAGACAATCAGACAAGCATTCTTTCAAAAGGATGCAGCTGCTTTCATAATTCAGGGAAGGCTGGGTTCTTTGCTCACAGCATTATGTTTTGCAAATCATCTCTTCTGAATAAATTGCACAGCCCTAACTATGGAGACCATGATCTGGCTGGCAAGTCTATTGGCAAGTCTGTACTGAAAGTTGGCTTCAATACCTGGCTGCATCTTAAAAAGAACACCAAAAATAGGAAATTTCTGGTAAAACTTTAATAAAGTGACTTGTGTAGCACTTGAGCAGATTTTGTTAAGAAAATACTCTCATGTACTATATAGCAGTGATTTAATTAATATATTTATATACTGCAGTTCTAAATAACCTATTCTTACAAGTCATGAATAGCATTGAGACTAGTGAGAACACAGTCGGTTGAAAATAGTATGATTTAGATTGCTCATAATAACTAATTATCAGTCTGATTTTTCAGTGCTATTTTGCAGGAATAAGGCTAAATGCTAACAAACCTTTTTTTAAAAAAAATATTGAAAAGCAGCATTAAAGGAAAACAGCAGAAATTATTAACAATAAAATATTTATACAGATGGCTTATTAAATGAATTTATTTTATTTTATTTTATTTTTGGTGCTTAGGTTCCATATTTCCAGAGACTGAAAAGTGGGGAAATTAACCCTGCATCCCTATCAATTTAAAGGGAACACAACCTTTTTATCCAGTGTTTCTCAACCTCAACCTTAGGAGGTGTGGACTTTAACTCCCAGAAGTCTGAGAATTAAAGTCCACATATCTTAGAGCTGCTAAGGCTGAGAAACCTGTTTTAACTCTAAATAAGATTCAAATAAGGAAAAATATAGAAACATAAGGAAGTAAGAAAAAAAAATAAGGATCCCTAAATTTCCTAAATTATTTCCCAAATAAGGGGGGGGGGGGAGTTAGAAATGCAAGAAAGGTATTTGGAGCTTCTTGTGGATCGTTCTGTTTGCTTGCTTGCTTTCCTTTTTCCTGCATTATTCTACTCAAAATAGCAACTAGCTATTGAGCAGAGGTATCCTTTTAATTTCTCACACTGCCTATATAGCTATGAAAGATCCCCATCTGAAGAAGAACAGCCATCTAAGCCAGTAACCTGGAACATTCATTAGGCAGAGTGGAGTTCAGGAAATGTACATTTCTGATTACAGTCCTTATCCCAATTCATTTAAAAACTGACCCCAGAACAATAAAATACTAGAAAATAGGACAACTGTAAATAATAGGGTTGTCAATAAGTAGGGTTGTCAAGACTGTTATTAATTAGCAAAGACTGAAAACCAGGTTTGAACCAAGTTTTCAAAAACTGTTTAAGGGGCAGCCCTATTTTTTATTCAATTGCTACCTCAAAGATCTAACCTGGTCCTAAGCAGCAGGATGCCTCTTGAGGAGAGCCATAAAGATAGTGGCCCTGATCCTGTGATCAAAATTCTGACCCAACAGGCTGACCAACTGATCAACTGGATCCACACCTAGGTTGGAAGGCAACAGTCCTCCCCGATTGTCATTTTTCAGTAATCACTAAAAAGGGAACCCTGATAACCTTAGGTGTGATCTTAAGGAGAAATATCTTTTAAAAATTAATCATCCACATTCAGTATTTCTGGCAACACCCTTCCAACCT